ACCTCTCCCCGGCCACTCCCACCCCCCAGCACATGCCTTCACCCGCCTACTGTCTGTGTCCATTGGTTATGCTTATATGCATGCATACAAGTCCTCTGGTTGATCTCTTACCTCCCCTCTCACCCTCCCCTGCCTTCCCTCTGAGGTTTGACGGCCTATTCGATGCTTCTATGTCTCTGTCCCCAAGATTATTGTATTGCTCTTGAATTTCAGTCTTACTTATTCATGAAGGTTAAACCTTTGTCCTACATAAAAAGTTACTACTGGTATCTTAGACAACTTGAGGTAATGAATCTATTGCACTTAGGTAATTTGTCTGACTTAGGTTTTGAACTGTTTGACTCAGAGGTAATGAGAAGAGAAACTGTCCACTCCACAGAGCCCTGGGCTTCCCGTGGGGGTGGTGCTGAGGGCTGATGGTAGGGGCTACAACCAGAACAGCCATACTTCTAGTTGTTTCATTTACTGGACTCAAATGTTCCTACTTAAAAGAAGTCTGCTGACAATTTTTTTTTTTAAGTTTTGAAAAACACTACTAGCACTTCTAAAGATTAATGGAGTCCTTACCATACTCATTAGTGTTTGTTTGTTTGTTTCCATACTCATTAATGTTTTATTTCTGTTGACTTGGACGATCCTTTGGAACTTAAACACTTTCCTTAGGTAATCAGGATACACGGCCATCATCAGGTTTTTAGGCTATCCCACAAAGACCTACCCAACCCATGATGCAGTTGATCCAGAAAAATGCACTGCGTTTCAACTCTGAGCTTGGGGTACCTTCTCCCTGTTTATATCAAAGTAATTACTCTGAGTCTCGGCTGCCACTCAACTCAGAGAGAGGGCATTTCCCACTTGGAGGGCCTCTAAGCTCAGTCGCCTCTTCTCACTCTACATTCCCGCCAGGCAATCTCATCCATATTTGGGGCTGTGATGAGGGTTCTATGAGCTGTTAATTCCCAAATGTGCTTCTCCAGCCCAAACCTCTCATGGAGCACTATATCCATATTTCCAACTGCATACTTAATTCCTCCACTTAGGAGTCTCATAATCACCCCACATTCAGTATGCTCAAATGGAACTCACCATCGTCCCCTCTTCCAGAGTTATTTGTCTTAGAGAAGGGTATTGTCATCTATCCGGTTGTGTAGACCAGACACCTTCCTCTCCTCATTTCCCACATCCAATCCATAGCCAAGTCCTCTTGGCTTTACCTCCTACCACTCCTCCCCATTTATACCAGCTGGAGTCTAGTCCAAGCCACCACCATCTCCTGCATAAATTATTGTGATAACCTCTTAATTAGTCTCTCTACAATCCCTCTCGTTTCCCTGTTCAATACTTTCTCCACAAAGTTTATCACATAATCTTTTAAAAATTGCAAATCTGATTATGTCACACTCCAGCTTTAAAACACTCTCAATGGCTCCCCAATGCTCTACGACTAAAGTCCAAGCTCCTAACTATCACCTGCTACTCCCATCTGCTCTTCTGCCTGGGCCTCTGCCTGCCTCATTGCTCGTCTCTAACCACTCTCCACATCTCCATCACAGAGGACTTTTTTCCAGTTCCTAACATATGCTATTATGCCTTTTCTTTAGTCTAGGCTTAAGTTCATGCTGCTCTCTTGCACCCAGAATGCTTTTTCCTCCCTCCATTCCCTTAGCTGGCTAATTTCTACTCATCTTTCAACTCCCAGTGCATGCTTTGCCTCCTCGGGGCCCCCTCTCCTGGCCCCCTCTGTCAGACTCTCTCAGCCTCTGCACATCTCCTCTGAATCACTTACTACCACTGAGAATAACAAGTGCTCCCCTCAATTAGTTGTTTAGGACATTCTGCCTTGCTAGGAGGCAAGTTCTAGAAGAGCAGGGCCCACGCAACGCAGAGGATCAAGACTATCTGGACCCAAATCCTAGCTCTGCCACTTGCTGGTTGTGTGACACTGGGGCAAGTCACTGAACTCCTCTGGGTTTTATTTTCCCCATCTGTAAAATGAGAATACTGATACTTCCTACTTCACAGGGTTATGAAGATTAAATCATTATTATTGTTTACTCCGTACAGTGCTTATAAGAGTGTCTGGCACATATTAAGTTCCATGTGTTTGTTAAATATATATCAGTAATCAGCTGATGCTTGTTGCTAGATAAAGGATCTGGGAGAGCATAGGCCCTTCCCCCAAAAGGACAAGTGTCTATGGCTTGTCTAGAATCACCAGTCAATGGTGATGGCCTACTTAACTCTTAATACTCTCTGGTGACTACTGGAATTTGTTCCTTTTTTTAAATCGCTGGATGATACTCTGGAAAAGACAAATCTAGTGAGAAATGCATGTATTTTTCATGAGTAAAGACTCCTCAGTTAAGGACAATAATCCATAGGCGTAAACATGCCAAAATATCACCCTGAATCAGTGCTACAGGATAAAATGGCTTTGTTCTTGTGTAATACTAGAGGCCTGGTGCACGAAATTC